TCCTAATTTATATGAAGGGTTCATATAAATGTAAACAAAGCAGAAAGGCTGTAATGTATAATGAATTAAGGAAGAAATGCCACTAGTTAATAATTACAGAGAAAGAGTTCAAACTCTAATAATCAAATGAATTTAGATTTTTAAAAAAGAAGACCATTTTTTACCTTCCAAACTAGCAAAAAAATAAAAAATATATATATAACAACATACTGCTGAGTGAAATATCACTGCTACACATGAATATAACTTGTGACAATTATTCATCAAAATCTTTTTTTTTTTTTTTAAATTTTTTATTTATTTATGATAGGCACACAGTGAGAGAGAGAGGCAGAGACACAGGCAGAGGGAGAAGCAGGCTCCATGCACCGGGAGCCCGACGTGGGATTCGATCCCGGGTCTCCAGGATCGCGCCCCGGGCCAAAGGCAGGCGCCAAACCACTGCGCCACCCAGGGATCCCTATTCATCAAAATCTTTAAACAGTTCACACATTTCAGCCTAATGACTCTATGTGGGGGGTTTTATGCCCAGGAAATAATCCTAAAATTTTCTTACAGATTTATTAATTGTAGCATTAATTACAAGATCAACATGTTGGGGAAAAAATCCTTATATTCAATAGTCAGGTAAACTGACTTATGATGGAGTATCATGTAGTTACTTTTAAATGTCATTTAAAGTAATTCTGTAATGGCACGCTTGGGTGGCTCAGTCGGTTAAGCATCTGCCTTTGGCTCAGCTCAGGATCCCGGGGTCCTGGAATCCCCACATCAGGCTCCCTTATCAGCAGGGAATCTGCTTCTCTCTCTCCCCCTGTCTTTCCCCAGCCTTCATGCTGTCTCAATTCTCTCTCTCTCTCAAATAAATAAATAAGATCTTTTAAAAAATAAATAAATAAATTCTGTAACAACATGGAAATGTTGATGGTAGAAAACAAAAGTCAATGTTGGTCAATATAAATATTAAAATTTGTCTAAGCTAATTGGTAATTAGGGGCACAAACATTTGCACACAGTGACCTATCACTCTGCACCAACCAGATTGGCTAAAATTAAATAGGTCAAAAATACCAAACACAGATGAGAATGTGGCCCCACAAAAACCCTCATGCATGGCTTCCAGAAATGTAAACTGGACCTGTTCGATACCATCTGATGAAGTTGAAGGTATGCATACCCAAAGATCTAATAATTCCACTCACAGGTATAGAACCCAGAGGAACCCCTGCACATGAACACCAGGGTACAAAGGATGTACAAAAATACTCATAGCAGCAGGGTTTGGAAGAGCCTGAAACTAGAAATGTCCGTCACCAGTAGAATGGATAGATTGTAGATTACTTGTGCAGTGAGACAGAACACAATAAAATGAACAAATGACAGCTTAAACATCACAATGTCGATTATTTTCACAAACATAATGTTGAATGAAGGAAGCAAGTCATAGAAGAATAGGTTTATTATTTCATTTATATATAAAGTTCAAAAATAAATGAAACTAAATTATCTTGCATAGAGATATATACAAAGGTGGTAAAACTATAAGAAATGCATAGTAATCAGGAGAATTGTACCTTCAGAAGGATGCAGAAGTTGCGATGGGGAAAGAGAGTAGAAAAGTGGAGGGCCCCTCCGGGTCTGGGAGGTATGTGATTTCTTGACCTGGGATATGATTCTGTGAGTGATGGCTTTACAGTATTTTAAAAACTATCTCTCTCTTTACATATATATATATATATATGTATATGTGTATATATATATATATAACTATATGTATATGTGTATATATGTACATATACATATAGTATATATAGTTATGTATATGTAATTAGCTGAGTAGGAGAAGGATGCACCCCTACTACAGGATGACTGGTGTCCTTATAAGAAGACAGCCATGTGAAAACACAGACACAAAGAGAAGGCCATGTGAAGATGGAGGCAGAGCCTGCAGTGACACATCTATAAGCCAAGGAACACCAAGGTTTGCCAGCCATCACCAGAAGCTGGAGAGAGGCAGGAGACAGTCTCCCTTTAAGCCCTTGGAGGAAGCCAACCCTGCAGACACTCTAATTTCAGACTTCCAGTCTCCAGAACCGTGAATAAATTTCTGTTGTTTTAAGTAACCTAGATTGTGATACTTTGTTATGGCAGTGCTAGAAAACTAAACATTTTATATTTTCACATTAAGACTATTTATTAAGCGTTAGCCTTCAGCTCAGGTCATGATCTCAGGGTCCTAGGATTGGATTCTGGTAGGGCTCCCTGCTCAGTGGGGTCTCCACTCTTCCCTCTCCGTCTATTCCTCCCCAGGTTCATTCTCTCTCTCCCTCTCAAACAAAATCTTTTTTAAAAAAAGAATATTTGGTATGCCTGGGTGGTTCAGTCGGTTAAAGGTCTGCCTTTGGTTCAGGCCATGATCCCAGGCTTGGTGTGGAGCCTGTACTCCCTCTCCATCTGCCTGCCACTTCCCCTGCTTGTGCTCTCTCTGTAACAAATAAATAAAACCTTTTTAAAAATTAAAAAAGTGGCAGCCCGGGTGGCTCAGCGGTTTAGCGCCACCTTCAGCCCAGGGTGTGACCTCGGAGTCCCGAGATCGAGTCCCACGTCGGGCTCCCTGCGTGGAGCCTGCTTCTCCCTCTGCCTGTGTCTCTGCCTCTCTCTCTCTCTCTCTCTCTCTCTCTCTCTCTCTCTCTGCCTCTCGTGAATAAATAAGTAAAATAAATAAAATAAAATAAAAAATAAAAATAAAAAGTAAAAGAGCATATTTGTTAAAGATTTCCAAGAATTTACATTTGAGGTCACTAATTTCTTGAATAAATCACAAAATCTAAAATAAAATAACTCCTCGAATCATCCTACTTTATATGTTCTCTGGAAAAGTTACACTCAGAGATACAATTCAAATATAAAAAAATAAAGATCTATTCAGAAAAGAGAACTATGCAGCACATCTAGTTGTACCAACAGGTCAAGGATCAATTGTAAATGTCTAAGTACATTAAAAAATAAAGGATGTGGTTGTTCCAAGCTGGCCTGTAAAATTTTCATCCTGACCCTTTGATTCCTTTCCTTACTGGAAATTCTCCAGTGTCTGAAGTGACCCTGCATTTGGCTTCTGGGAAGGCATTCTTATTCATTCCATTTCCCTACAGAGCAAAGAAGGGCTGACCTTAAAAGACACCTGACCCAGAACTTCTCCGGGGTGGAATACTGATGAACACAGATGGCTCCTTGTGAGACCATCTTTGGTTAGAATTCTGCTTTCTGCAAGTTGAGAGAATAGACAGCCTCGGAGTTTATAGAGCAAAGTGCTCGCAGAAACCTCACTGGGGGGTTGATTTTGTACAGGAGCCTGAGCATGTTTGTGGGAGTATTGCCTTTCTCAAATAAGTTCCACCTGACCACAGGATGCCATTAAAAAGGGGGTAGGGGAACAATAAATGGAGAACAGATTTTTAAAAAAATTAACAAAATGCAATGTGATTTCTCTAGTCCTTTCAAGTTTTCAAATACCAAAAGAGAGCAAAGTACAGAAAAGATTTCTTCTAGAAAAGTCTAGTACTACTGTACTATGTCTAGTACTACTCTGGTACTACTGTACTATGAAGTAGAACGGTACAGTGGTAAGAGATTTGGAAGCCAGCCTGTCTGGTGTTAAACCTCCGTTCTATCGCTTCTTAGCTTGATGTAGTTATTACCCTCCTAAGTACAAATTTTTTCATCTGTAAAATTAGGGTAAAAATTGCACGTATTGCAAAGGGTTGCTAGGAAGATTCTATGAGGCAATACATGAGGAAAGCATTTAGCTCAGAATGTCGCAAATGGTAAGTGCTTAATAAATATTAGTTGCTGAAATAATAATCATCATAATAAAAAATCTTGCTAGAATTATACTTGAAGTAGCTATAGAAGTTTTCAGTAGAATTGATTATAGAGTAGGCCCCCTAGGGGTCGACGCATTCACCCCATTAAATTAGGCAGAGAAGGAAAATTTCAGCTTCTTAAGTTGACCACTCTAGTACTTAACATGCTCTATCAGAAAAATAAAATTCACTTCAACTTCCCAGTGCGTTAAACAAGTGGATCTGGTTACATAATTTCTGCGGAGCTTTCCAAACAGCACAAATTTGTATTTCTAACAATGATGATCAGCCATAAATAAAATATGTCTCTAAGTTACTCTCTTTCTTTCAATGAGTATTTCTGTTATACTGGCTTCTACCCCTTTCCAAGCCAAATATGACCTATAGGCTAGTTTGGTGGTCACAGCGTGTGTGTTTCTCTTTTTCCCCCAGTTGTACTCCAAGGGAGCCTTAGACTTGGGTGGCTCTAGTACCAGCTGCTTGCAGTCAGCGCTGGGCGATTTCCATGATACTAAGGTTTGCTTGGACCAAACTTTCAGGTTTCCCAGCTTTGAAAGAGAAAAAAAACAAAAACAAAAAACAAACATGATTTCGTGAAACATTCAAAGAAATTGATGACATTTAAAGCCACTTGTAGGAGCTCCCAAGATTACAATATCACCTTTATTTTCAATGATATTTGCTATTTATTCAATAAAAGCTATTTAGTGATAGGGATCACTTTGTGCTTCCCAGTTCGCCTGGGGGTAAGAACAAAATCTCAACAAGAGTGCTCCAGCTCTCCCTCCAAAATCTTCCTCTGTTGTCCCCCCACACCTACCCAACCCTGGTGCACTTGCTGCTTGTCCAGGAGATGGCACTGTTGTTTCAAACGCCTGACTTCCCTGGGGGCCAACAAAGAACCCTGAAAAGCAGGGCTTATGTAGGGCAGTCAGAGGGTTAGAAGGGAAGCAATGCAATGCAATGCAATGCAATGCAATGCAATGCAATGCAATAAAATAAAATAAAATAAAATAAAATAATAAAATAAAAATAAAAAATAAAAGGGAAGCAGCCAGGAAGGAAATGTCTTGAACCTGGGGAATAAGGGCAACATACGTTTGTTTACTCGGTAATTATCTTCCTCAATCTTTCTAGGGGCCAATGTGAACATGAAGACCAACAACCAGGATGAGGAGACGCCCTTGCACACAGCTGCCCACTTCGGCCTCTCAGAGCTGGTGGCCTTCTACGTGGAGCATGGGGCCATCGTGGACAGCGTGAACGCCCACATGGAGACTCCACTGGCTATCGCAACCTACTGGGCCCTCCGCTTTAAGGAGCAGGAGTACAGCAGAGAGCACCACCTCATCTGCCGCATGCTGCTGGACTACAAGGCCGAGGTTAACGCCAGGGATGATGACTTCAAATCTCCGCTGCACAAGGCAGCCTGGAACTGTGACCACGTGCTCATGCACATGATGCTGGAGGCCGGCGCCGAAGCCAACCTCATGGACATCAACGGCTGTGCTGCCATCCAGTATGTGCTGAAGGTCACCTCTGTGCGCCCGGCCGCGCAGCCTGAGATCTGCTATCAGCTGCTCTTGAACCACGGGGCTGCTCGCATATACCCTCCACAGTTCCACAAGGTGAGCTTATGTCCAAGGGTGCCAAGTACAGGGCCAGGTGCTCAGCTGGGTCCCCTGAGACTCCAAGGATGACTTGATCTCAACTCTCCCGGTAACTAAAGCTTATCTGAGCCTAACTCCCTTTGATTCTCCAACTGACCTTGCATTTACACGCACAACCCTGGCTGCTTTGTCTTGGTCCTGTTTGTTTGAAATCTGGGGCTGAGAGGTAAGAAGGAGAACAAGAGTGGCAGGTAATTCTCCATTCCTTGTGTGAGCACCAGTGACCTGGTAGCAGCTTCTGCCAGACTGAGGTGAGAAAGATGGGAAAGCCACGTTAAGTCTGCTGGAGAGGCCAGTGGTGTCAGACAGGCAAATACTTGCCATCTTTCAGCAGAGCGCATTTTAAATGGCATATGGAATTGTTCTTGCTTTAAATTTTTATCTCTGCACTGTCTCTTATAATTCATTCATTCCAGACTTAGCCAAGTTATTCATGCCAGGAATAAAGAATCATGGACTTTGGGGCCAAACAAATGTGGGTCTTGCCACTGACCTAAGAATTTGACTTTGAATACATAACATAAGCCTCTTGAGCCTCAGATTCTTCCCCTGTGAAATGGGTACACTCTGCCCTTATTACCTCGGTAATCATGTGCAGACATGGTCCTACATCAGAAGGATATTAATCTTACTAGTAACACACAGATATCCTCAGAGCCCAGAGGATGGTGCAAATCTTTCTTTACTCTTTCTCTTGAGTCGCTGTCAGCCCTTGCAGTGTGTCTGCCCCAGCTCCATCCCACATCTGCAAGTACCTCTTCCTTGGTCTATGTCCATCTTCTTTCCGCACCTATGTCGCATTAGTCTGGCCATCTTCATAGTACAACTTCTAGAAGACAATTGATCTCTTTCTAACACAGCTCACCCCACAAAGCATATTTTTGTGTGTATTTATGTTCTAAGGCCACCTTCTTTCCAGAGAAAAGGATGGAGAGGGATGAAGGGCATGGAGATTCCAGAGAAACATACCTGCCTCACTTTATCTGTGAATAATAATAGCCTTTTCATAAGTCTGCTTTGAGAATGAACCAAGATAATACTTGAAAAGTGGTGGCACTGTGCCTGGTCCGTGGCAACCATAGAGAAGTGGCAGCTGTCACTATTGCTATTATTACATATTTGTAGATGAGTTGAATTGGTGCCTGAGCCTGCTTTAGGCACAGGGGCTTCTCCAACCAGAAGAAACAATGTGTGAGACTGCCCAGAGACTAAATATGGTGTTTTAGTCTGAAACTCACTGCTGGCTGGCTGTGGATGAAACAGGTCTCAGTGAAAGTAATTAGAATACCCTTTCCTCATTCCCCTTTGAGAGGAAGATTTAGGAAAATGGGCCTTCCTGTGGGGTTTCTGCTCACCAGGGAGAAGTCTTGCAAATGTGAAAGTCCCCAGGTCCTCTTCACAGAAGCAGTCCTCTGAGAGGTGACAGCAAGGAGGATTAGGAGCAGAGACTTAGCGATGAATCCTGACTTGGCCATTTATGTGCTATATGATTTCTGAACAAGTCCCTTATTTCTCAGATCTCAATTTCCTCATCTAAAAAATGAAGGTAAAAAGATCAGCTTTTCCAAAATGTTTCAGAAATAGGTGGGTAAGATATGTCAATCATCCAGCCCAGTAGTGGCGCTCAACAAAATTGTCTCCTTTCATCGCCCTCCTCTCAAAATCAAAGCCTGGTCTATTGTAGGAATCCACCCTATTGGCCTTACTTCAGTGGCTCTGCTCGCCTGTAAACTAGGTGTACAATTGTGTGTTCCAAGGACATTATCCAGAGTTAGTGTGTTCTCATTCAGTCCTCTTTCACTTCTCTGAGTTCCACCAGTTTGGCCATATGCTAAAGAGATTTAGGATAGAATTGGCTACTGGTTGATGGCTGGTATTATAAACATTTTTGTTGCTATCCAGCAGCAGGCAGTGTGAGAGAACTGGCCCCTTTCCAAAGGAAAACTAAAGAAAAACTCTTCAATTTACTATGCAGATGCTTCAAAGTGATTTAGCACAACTCCTCCACAGCCCGACTTTCCAAAGAGAAAGTCATCTTTACGACAAGTAAATGACTGACTCATTTATCCAGAAGATAAAGTGATTTGTTCTCTTGTGGATGGGGAATTCAGTTTCCTTATTTACAAGGAACAAGGTCAGAGCTGAAGATGCTGTCTTCCAAATACAAAGCAAATTTGTAGAGGGTTTATTTCACTGAAAACCAATGTATAAATTACATAAGGGGGGGGGGAAGAATTATAGGGTCTGCAATTGCTTTCCAGGGTACAAAAGGACATTTGGTTTTTTTTCTTTCAGCATAATTCAGAAGGAAGTGACACCCTAGGGAGCCAAGATTGGGTTTTCTTGTAGGGCAAGAAAGACATTTTTCTAGGGGAGGGAAAGGTATGTAAGGGTTTGGGGGAAGTAAGGATGATTTCTGCTGTTGAACAATGCTGCAAATGAAGCCCAGAATACAAGTGGTCTCTCTGACCATTAAGTACCTTTCTGTACACAGATATATCAATATAAAGGGGCAGAGGTAGCCTAAGAATTTCTCTGTTGAAGTGGCTTGCAGAGGTGGCACTTGTCTTGGAAAAGTGGTGGGGAGGTTTATCCTGAATCTGTTTTTTAATTTATGCCTTCAAGGGTCAGATGATGAAGGGAAGTGTCTAAAGGTCTCTCCGGTGACCACCGCTGTAGAAATAAATTTTTATCCTACTGTTCTTCCATGAAGAGAGAATAGAGACAGCAGAGACTCGCAGAAAATGAAGTTCATTGGGTATCTTCTGTCTTCCAGGCTCCCAGAGAAGCCAGCAGAAGCTTCTCCCTCAGAGTCCACTGACATCTTTTCTCACTTGATGGTCAAGGTTCCTGGTAGTCAGGGTAGAGTGATGATTTGAAGTTTGATGCCTCTTGAGGATCTTTTTGTTGTTGTTGCCTATTATAATAATTTTTGAGGCCTAGAGACAATGGGTCCAACTGTCTTAGTTCTGGAAGATGCCTGACGTGCCAGTGAAGAGAGCTGGGAGGCTGTCGGGCTCCTAACGAAGCCTTTCCTGCCATGAGAACCATCTTCTGTCAGCAGAAAACACAGTGGTCAGTGTCAGCAAAACCTAATGACGGCAGTGAGAGCTTTGAACTTTGTGCATCTAAAGACTGCGGGTTAAGAACTACTTAAGTTTTCCTCCAGCCAAATAAAAGGTAACAAGTTATCTCCCTGTGATCTATGGGAGTGTGCCAGGTGCAAATGAAGGCACCAGATGCGTGAAGTAGGCTCCTGAACTATGAATGGATGGACTTCCATAACTTAGTTTGAACTATTTCTGAATGGGAATTGAGACTAATGTTGCCAAATAAAATACAAGTGCTCGGTTAAATCCGAATTTTAGATATATAAGAAGTAATTTTTTATAATAAGTAATTTTTAATATAAATATGTCCCACACAATATTTGGGACATGGTTACACTAAAGATTCTGTGTTGTGTATCTGAAATTCAAATTTAATCTGGCAGTTTATATTATTAATATTTGTTAAATCTGGAAACCTTAGTTGGGAATTAGGTAATGTGTTGCAAGAGGAGAGTAATTTTTAACTATATCTCTTCAGTGATCAAGGTGTTGGCAAGAAGGAGAAAGTAAGGAATACCTGGGGACCAATTATCTTTGTTGGGTATGTGAGCATGTTGTCCTTAAATATAACCAGTGTGGCTTCCATGAAGAGTGAGTGTGGCCAGGGAATTAATGTAGAGCTGAGGCCAGTTTTCTGAGTGCGCATTTAAACCTTGTGCAGAGCCTTGCTATAAGCTTTCCGATTTCTCCACACCTTTTTATGTATAATTCCATTATATACATGTTGTTGATACAAGCCTTGGATTAATTTAAGCTATCATCTCTGTACTAGCAACTCTTAAATTTAAATTTCTGTTTTGGATTATCAACTGATAATGTACTTTTCACCACAGATCATCCTTTCAGAAAGGATTAGCTAGAGGTTTTTAGAGGATGTAGATGGAGTTCCCAATGGTTGCTATTTTTATATTACCAGCAACATCTTTACGTTTGAAAGAGAATTCTTTTGAAATTTCAACGAAACTCAGCCTAAAGTAATTATGGTTAAGAGTGCTTCTTGTTTCAGAATATCTATGCAATGAGATTTGTGTCCTTAAACTACTAATTTCATTGGCCATTATCTAAGATTAAAAGAAGGTGATCAGAATATATTTGAAAGAGCACTAAACTCAGAGTAAGAAGACATGAGGTTAAGTCCTCATGCCTCCTCTTACCATGTGCCTCTCTGGTTTCAATTTTCCCATCTCCAAATTAGGGGAGGTGGGAAGGTTAGCAATTTTTAGGGTCTCTTGCAACTCTAACATTCTAGGATACTGTGGCAGTAGTTTGTAACTAGTGTACAAATTAATGAGTCAGCCTCAGATTTTGTCTGTCTCTTTTACTTGGAGCTAACCCATCTGTCATCTTCATCCTAGCTCTAGAGAACAGAGCAGCCCCATTTGCCTTAATTTTCTAAGACCTAAGTGCTGAAAAATTCCCACCCTGACAGCCACACAGCGAGTTGGAAGCCCTTCTGGCTATACTTTCTGTAGACACAAAAATGATGACTCTTCAGAGGTCCTTTAGCGATGGGTCTCTGGCTCCAACCTACTTCTTTACCTTCTTATGGGTTGATGATATAGGATTGCTCTTTATTTGGTTTCGGCGTGCCTGACAAAACCACGGTCAGCAGCTCAACTTTGTTCACTGCACCCAGAATGTGTAGTTGAATGGTTCCCCTGCATTAAGCAACTATTTATGTGTGCTCATTTGGACCCAATCACCTTCACTGATTTAGAGTTTCAGATACAGTTAGTCTGTGATGGCTTATGATGGTGCTTACATATGGGCCAACTGGAAGCAGCTGATTGCTGGGAATTGACTCACAATGGCTTATGAGAGCTGACAGATTTTCAGGAACTGTACAAGCTGATTATTAAGTGCAGCCATTACTGAAAATTAAGTCACATAAACTTACAACAAATAAAGTATACTAAAAACAAAGATAATAGGTATTTAAAACACTATTTTAAAATTATTTTCATTATATCTCTTAATTATTTTACTCTACACACCTATACTCTTGATGTTATATCTTTTATACCCCTGTGGTGGAAACATTTTGTAATGATTTGTTACTGCACATCCCTTCCCAACCATGCAGTGACCCCAGGTTAGTAGTTATGAATAGGCTGTGATGGTAGTATTTACGCCACAGAAATCAGCAAATGCTACCGATCAGACTTTAATTTATTTCTTTGATGAAGTCTAGACCTAAGAAATTAATGGAAAGGATGTTACTAATACAGATTAAACTTAAAAATAGGTGGTCAGTGTCTGGAGCTCTGACATTGTGAATAGCACCAAAAAATGCAGAAATATGATTCCAGGATTCAAAAGCTATTATATATTTCAAAAAAAAGTTACTCATGTCATTGATGAATGAGTGAAGTTCTAAAATAGGTCTTCATTGTTTCATATTTGTGAAACAATTATTCTTTCATGTAATAAAAATATCAACCAACATTCATATAACAACTACATGTGTTCTTCAATTGCAGACATTGATTTTGGCTATGAATGCAATTCAATATCCATGCAAAATTGATACAAAATCAGTGAAAGCATTCTGTGAGAACCAATTAACTATATAAAATAGGAAATGAGGAGTACTGAGTATTTTATTATTCATAAATTGTGGGCTGCACATTCTTTATATTAGCAAAAAATTTGTATTGCATTTATGAACATATACACGCAGTGTTTTCTTTTCCAGAAAGCCTCTTATGGAACATTTTTTTGCACGCCATTGACTCTAACCTCTATTTCAATAAAGCTCCCTTATCTTAAGGCCCTCTGGCTGGCCTGTCTCCTGGGGCTAACACAGTTCTCTACTGAGGCCATGCCTCCTGATTTGAAACTATGCTCCAATAAATTCTTATAAATCTTTCTTTCCTGATATCCCACTTTCATGACTGCTTCATCTCACCATATTTTGTGGTTTCTGATTCCCATTGGATCTGGGCCATTGGAGCCAGGTTTTGATGTGTTATATTAGAGAATTGCTGCCATCTCCTTAGTCTCATGCATTTCTAAGAGAATTTCTGCTAAAATTGTTCCACCAACCTTTGTCCCCAACCTTATCTTATTCCGCTTAACCTACTGAGTTGGGTGGAAGAATTGAACTGGTTGCTTAACTGTGGGCCTAGAGAAGAACTGAGTTCTTGGTTCTTTTATGTGGTAAGCGTCCAGGAACAAGCTCTTTACATCAGGCAGCGGTCCATAGTTTGGGGATGCAAATGTAATCTTGGGGTGGAGTGCTGGGAAGCTTGATGTAGTCCCATAATTCAACATATTATATGTAATCAGTTTTGTTAGTAATAAAAATGGCATTCTGATCTCAGATTGTCATCTTCATCTCGTTTTTCAATAGTTTCTAGACTGAGGAAAGCAAGTTATTTATTGGGTCTCTAAAACCCTGTATGCTATGACACCAAGGTCTTAAAGATGAGGGTAGGTCAGCCCTAGTTACAGCTGTGCATCCCGCCTGTCAACCTCAGTCTGATCTCTCCTTGTTGGAACCCATCCAACCCTTGGTAAACTAGACTTCTAGTCAGATCTGGTGGTATCTAGTCTTCCTCTCTCTAATCTTAATGGCTCTGGTGCTAGCCCAGCTTCCAATGCTCTTCTCACTTGATGTTTTTCACTCTGAAAGGCCTGGTTTACTTTTGACTTTTGGAGTCACACAGACCTGAGTTTTAATCCTAGCTCAGTGACTTACTAGCTAAATAACCTAGAGTTTAAATGTTCTTGGTCTTAAATTTTAAATCTGTGAAATGGGTATAAGGGCTGACCTTGTAGGATTGTTTGAAGATTGAGCAAGGCAAATATGCAATGATTTAACATAGTCCCTGACATGTAATAAGTACTAAAAAAAAAAAAATGGTGGCTGTAACTTTTTTTTTTCCTTTTTCTTCTCTCCTGCGTGTTTGGATTTCTCGGGCTTTAGACCATGGTCCTCTACCATTTCCATTTATTCTCATTTAGAGTATTATGGAGCCGTGTGGATTTAATTCTTTAATGGTGCACAAATCTCCACCTTCATCTTGGCCTGCCCAGTGGAGTGTTATCATGCACATTTTTAACGAACATTAAGACATTGTATATGACATATCCTCCTGCCCACACGATCTGACCATCCCCAAATTAGCATGTCCTTCCAATTTCCTCATTTCCTGTCAGTGGCACCCCCATATGTCCATGTTCTCAGGCTTAAAATTGTGTCCTTTACTCCTCATATTTGGTTAGTCATTAAGCCCTGCTTATTCTTTCTCAGAGTCTCGGTTACCATTCCTTCTCTGGACTGCCAGTTATGCCAGCTGAGAAGCCATTTGTCCTACTCCCATTTAGCCGCCTCACACTACTCTCTGCCCTTAATATCCTTGTTTTCTCCTTTGTGTTTTTGTTCATGATGCTCAGGAGATATTGATGATCTTTAAGCCAGCCTCTTATTATTTACTGACTTACATTGCTCTCTCTTTGAGATATGTACGTCTTTTCTCTTCAACTAGGTTGTAAACTCCTTGAACACAAAAACCAGGTCATAAACTTCTCAGAATTACTGTCATAGTGCTAAACACAGTGCTCAATAAAGACCTCCTAATGGAATGGATCGATTGAATACAACCCTTTCTTGTTAAGAAAATGTAATAGCCTCCTATTAAATGTTCAGTCTGAAGCTCTTTGGACTGGCATGGCAGGTGGACTGTCAGCTGGCTCCATCTTAACATGCTCTTAACATTAGCTCTTTCCTGATGTGGGTCCTTCATTTAGGTGACCACACACACACACACACACACACACACACACACGTGCACATGTGTGTGCAAGTGCTTAACTGTGCATTAAAATGATAATCTTTTTTAAGATTTTATTTATTTATTCATGAAAGACACACAGAAACATAAGGCAGAGGGAGAAGCAGGCTCCCCACAGGGAGCTTGATGCAGGACTCAATCCTGGGATTCTGAGATCACGACCTGAGCTCAACCACTGAGCCACCCAAGTACCCCAAAATGATAATCTTTCTGTCTCAGTTTTGCCTGGGGCCTCAAGACAATAGGTTCTTAGCAGCCCACACTGAAAAATGCAATGCTGGATGACTTATGATGGACTTGTAAAGGAGATGGGGAAAACCAATGTGTGACGTTTGCTCAGCTACAATAGACTGAGGCTGACAAGGACTGGGAAGTCAGGAAGAACTTCTCTTTGGAGAAAGTTGTTTCAGTGCAAAAGGATGTCTCCCTCCCAATGGCAGCAATGAGTGGCTTTTCTCCTCATCTCCCATCCAGCAAGGGATCTTGAAGAGGACTCCAGAGAGAGCTTGATACATGTTTTCTAGAGTCCCAAGGGAAGAATGGAACTGACATGTACCTCATGATGGGAAAATTCAAAATCAAGAGTACTTTTGCTGTGGGTTCCCTGTGGACTAGTTGTGGGGCACATTGCAGAACCAGCTGGATCCCTTTGAAATGAAAACAGGTCACTCAAAGGGCTTCTGGGGATAGGATCAGATTGGCAGAAAGAAGCTAGAGGTGTTCCTGTGGATACAGAGAAGCTGGTGGGGAGGGGGGAGGGTTGTAAGGACAGGATGTACCTTTCATTGGACTCCTACCTTCTTTGTTAGCACTTCTTTTCAACTAGCTTCTAAATGTTGAAGGAAGTGTGTGATTTTATTCATCCTCCCATCGATCTCAAGACTGGCAGGTGTTTGAAAACTCAAAGGCATGAGGCTTTGCAAAAGCATTTCAGGGCTCCAGGTAGCCTAACAGGACCGTAAGTTCCCAACGTCTCCGTGAGAATGAATGAATCATAGATGTACATTGAACAAATAAAGCTGTGTGCTTCCTCTACAGGTGATACAGGCTTGCCATTCTTGTCCCAAAGCAATCGAAGTTGTAGTCAATGCCTATGAACACATCAAGTGGAATGTAAAGTGGAAAAGAGCTATCCCTGATGACGACCTGGAGGTAAAGAATCCATTCACTTTCTGTGCTTTTCACTGTAAAATAGTTCGAGACTGCAATAGAAGTACAGAAAGTTCTATTTAAAAACTAGTCTTGAGAATGCTTTCAAGACCTACTCAAATGCAATGAGGCAAATGGTTATAAAATGCATTTTAACTGTGTCATCAGGCCAGGGCTCCTGGGTGGCTCAGTTGGTTAAGGGTCTGACTTCAGCTCAGGTCATGATCTCAGGGTCCTGTAATCAAGCCCCAAGTCAGGCTCCCTGCTCAGCAAGGAGTCTGCTTCTTCCTCTCCCTCCCTCTGTGTGCACTCTTTCTCTCTCTCTCAAACACATAAAATCTTAAAAAAAAAAAAAACAGGTGTAAAAATTAATAGATGCATCAAGTATGTAACATTTGGAAATGTCTTGAGGATTTCTCCATTTAAGGGCAAGTTGAACATTTGTATAAAGGTGACGGGTTTACTTTCTCCTCAATAATTTAGATAATTTAATAATAATAATAATATTTGAGTTGCTTCTATAATATTTTACCAGAAGATTAGTCTTTCATGTAGATTATTTCATTCACTGTTTTAAAATATTTGTTTATTTTAAAGAGACAGAGACAAGAGAATGAGCAGGAAGGACAGAGGGAGAGGGAGAGAGGTTCTCAAGCAGACACCACACTGAGCACAGAGCTCCATGTGGGGCTTGATCTCATGACCCTGAGATCATAACCTGAGCTGAAACCAAGAGTCAGACACTTACCTGACTGTACCATTCATGTGCCCATGTTTCATTGACTTGTAGTTATCTTGTAGCCTTTAAGTAGGCAGGAACCATATTAAAAATCTTTAATGAGTCATGCAGAAAGCCATTGACAAAGCTAAGTTCTCACTCTGCAAATGGACTTTGCTGCCTTTGTAAATCAGTCCTCCCACCAAGCCTGTTGTTCTTGGTTTTAGCAGTCACAGGCTGTTTCCAACGGGTGGAGAAGTACGAGGCCCAGAGTACAAAGCTCATCAGACTCAGAGGCTGATGGCTTAGATGCAATCTTACTCTGCTACTTTTGAACTATCTTACCCTGAAAAAGTTACTTAACCTGCTTGAGCATCATTAATAGAATAAATATCTGAATGTATGGGCCACATAAGGCACATAAAGGATATATAGTAGTATCTCGATTAATTTCATTTATTTTTATTTTTATTTATTTATGATAGTCACAGAGAGAGAGAGAAAGAGAGAGAGAGAGAGAGAGAGGCAGAGACACAGGCAGAGGGAGAAGCAGGCTCCATGCACCGGGATCCTGATGTGGGATTCGATCCCGGGTCTCCAGGATCGCGCCCTGGGCCAAAGGCAGGCGCCAAACCACTGCACCACCCAGGGATCCCTCAATTAATTTCAAATTGCTCTTTTGATATCCACTGCTGCAGATAGTTCATACGAGTATATTTTATCTCACTTCCTGGGTTCTGAATTGTAGAGTGTTACATCCCCTTGTCTCCCTTTTCTCCTTAGGTACCACTGCCTCAGCTCCCATCTCAATTTCATTTTTAATGTTGTCTCACTGTCAGAGACCCTAGAAAGCTACCACTGTGTATAAAGTAGGGACTAAATGCTAAAGTAGGGATTAAATGTCATTGTTGATTTCTATTGATGTAAACTCTGGGGCTTTTCTATCTTTAACCTCTCTTGCCTTCTTTTACAGAGATACTGGGATTTTTACCACTCTCTCTTCACTGTGTGCAGTAACTCTCCAAGGACTCTCATGCATTTATCGAGATGTGCCATTCGAAGAGCATTGCACAACAGATGTCACAGAGCAATTCCTTTGCTTTCCCTCCCATTGTCATTGAAAAAGTACTTGCTTTTAGAGCCAGAGGGAATCATTTATTAAACCTTATGAGACAGAGGTTCCCAATCCTAGATATTTAAGTGGACTCACCGGGTAGACACAGTTTGCATAAATAAAATGGTACTTGGGTTGATTATAACACTTCAGGGATTTCAAAACACTTGACAAACTCTGTCATTAATCCTAGGGTAGCATGGTGAGGGGAAATAAACAGGAAGTAAAGTTAAGGAATTCTCAAAAACAAGAATGTGCTCAGAAGGTACTGACAACAGTAATAACTGATGTGTATAGTGTTTTTACTTGGTGCCTGATATATTTTTGTAAAACTTTTCATATATCATCTCATCTGAAATGGGACCCAGTTTTTCTTACAATCTCATTCTCTCCCTTATCAGTAATAAGTTTATATTACTGTTCAGATGCCAAAATCATAGGCTTTGTGATTGGCCTCTTAATCTCAGGGGTTCCCTCCTCAACCCCCCTTCCGTACACCGTTACCACTTAGCAGAGATTATTGTCACTAGTTTTGCAAACTCCTATCCCCACTCGAAGCTCTTCTGCTTATTTTTGGTGAAGAGAGCAGATGAGCCTAGTCAAAACAAGGAGATCTTGGAGTTAAAGTAGACACGAAAAACCAAGACTGGTCCACTTAATAGTCAAAGAATGGACATTTCAACATACGCTTGTTGAGCCAGAGACTGGAGATGCAATGATGAATCTAAAGCGAGGACTCCTGCCCTCCAGAATCTCACGATTTAGCAGAGGATCCGGACATACAAGCAGGAAACTGCAGTGTCAAGCGTCAGGGGCAAGAGTACAGGTGCAGACTCATTTTTAGTGCGTGCGTTTCAGAGTCGTGTTTCTGACCTGAAGTGTGATTTTCCTTTTAAGCATGAATATAAAGAGTGAAGGGATTCTGTGACATAGAGGGAGCTCCTGGTGCTGTTAGTGTAAATGTATTCACTTTCAGTTTCTCCAAACATCACATCAAGAAACTCTTTTATTTTAGTATGATTTTCTGTTTATAGTACTCCCCTTGGGAAAATATTTGCACACTCAATGGCTCCCATAGATTTGATAAGAAAGTTTAATGAGATGTGTACAAGGAAGCGTGCAAAGGGAAGAACTCAAGTTGATTGCTTGGGCTCATGGAGTAATAGGCTGACATTTCAGAGCATTTTAGCTGGAAGATAAGGAGCACTTGACTAGCAATGGCTGGCTACCAAAAGAGCAAATAGAAAGACTTTTTGAAAATGGTAGAATTTTGAGAAACTTGGAAAGATAAGTGTGTCAATCAGGCTTGTTACTAGTTTGCTGAACGTGACATGTAGCTGATTAACCTCTGGACCTCAGGGTTTATGAGGCCAACTGGTCTTCGATTTTTTGTTCTTGCTAATCACTCTTAAGTGAGCTCATTGCCTCTTAGTGTCGCTCTTTCAGAGGCGAGAGTGAAAGTAATTAAGCACAAACAAATCCATTTGCCAGGTGTGAGCAGGTTTCTTTTACTTGTGTGATTCTTCATCTTATTTAACTTTAGAAGCTTGAGTTTTGAGTAGAGATGATGTCAAATATTCCACCCGCCCACCACCTAGGCCATGCTTCTAAACTGGGATTCTCATAGTCCCGGTGCCCTGTAGGAAAAGTAATGGGTAGATACAATAATCTTTCTGATTTTCTTCAGTCTTTCTCAAATATTTTGAGAGACCTAATTTGTACTAAAACAAATTTGTACTATATTGTAGAAGAGGATGCTGAATTTGTATAAACGATTCATATAAAAACATTGGTCCTTCAAAAAATTGTAGCAAGTGGTGTTTGGGACACATCCTAGAATACTGGGCAGAAGTGCATGCTCCCCTCTCCTTTGGGAATATTCTGGCTGAAAAACTTGTGATGCACTGTCTTTGTCAATAAAACCTACTCTAAGGACAAAGGGAGAGAATGTTCCTTGCGTTAGGAAATGTTTCTCCATCTGCTTGCTTGTGCTTAAACATTGTATGCTAATTAGCACATAATATATGCCTACTTGTTTTGAATTGTTTACTCATGAATTTAACTTATTTCTCCTTATCTTTGAACTTTTATTTAGGGGACTTAAATAAAGCTCTTGTCTCCTTTCATCTTTGGGAGTTGTTTACCTATCAATAAGACTTTTTTCCCAATTGACTACAAGCAGTAGATCTCTGAAGAGCTCTACATGTTTCATTGCTTTCTTCAACATTTAGGAGAGGGGGTGGAAAGAGAATGAGGAAATATACCTGTAAATGAATAATATTTTCAAAAGAAAGTAAAAGGTAAATACAAATAAAAGGCAAGTTGTTGCTGTAGGAACGAGAGTGGTTTTTTTTGTTTTGTTTTTAGGATGTATTTATTTGTTTTAGAGAGAGAAAGTGGATGCATTTGAGCAAGGGAAGAGCAGGGACAAAGAAACAGGGGGAGGATGAGGAGGAGGGAGAGGGAGAGAAGCGATTCCTTGCTGACCGCGGAGCCCAACTATGAGGCTTGCCCTCACAACCCTGAGATCATGACCAGAGCCAAAATCAAGAATTGGATGCTCAATCAACTGAGCCACCCAGGTGCCCCAGAAAAAGTGTTTTAATACTAATAAAGAAATGCTACCATAATCATCCTCTCCCACCTGTCTCCATCTCTGACCTGGTCCTTTCATTTCCCTTCACTCTCCTCATTCACAGAACCCCAGGCACCAGCAACAGAGGAAATGATGTCCTCATGCTGCTTTTGTAACTTTCTGTAAATAGTCATTTAGTGTCCTGAGAAAACAAACTTCTTCTCTTTTGTAAGTTACATGTGAGGAAAGATCTTTAATATGAGGGAAGACCACCTATCCAGCTTTCTTCCCTTCTCAGGATCCAGACACACTTGTGTTCTATTTCTTAATCACCTAGTGTTATATTGCCACTTTGTCCTTCCATCCTGAACCCAGTGGCTTCTAATAAAAAACACAGCAGTCGAAAGCTGATTGTACAAATAAGAAAAGTAACAAACCATTTGCAGTGGGTTATCGATGTTGGAAAGAACAGCTGAGCCTTATTTTTTTTACTCATCCGATTGTGAAGAACTGAAGAAGTTTTAAACTGGCGTACTTTCAAAACTTTAAGAAAATCCAAATGATTCCCTTATTTTCTTTGAAACACACAAAAAAATTCATTGTCACTCTCCTTTGGATACATTGAAGTTAGATGTTAAGAGTTTCGGCTTGTGCCCGTCTACCTGGATTCATTTTCTGACTTCCAACATTCTGATCCATTATCTAGGGAAAACGACGCACTTGCTCTGTGACTCAGTTTCTGCACTTATAAAATGGGAATAATGTGTCTATAGCATGAAAGTTTTATATGATTGCCTTGAGGAGTAGAGGAGAAAGTTTTCCCTGACTCTTTTAGGGTTTCAGTTGGGCCTCAAAGTTAAACTGACAAAGATTATAGGAGAAAAGCATACATTTTACATGACACAGAAACTTCATAAGAAATGAGGACCTGAAGAAACAGAACTGAGTGTTTTTATGTCAAGTTTGAGTAAGAGCAGGCAGTTGAGCAGAAAATATGATGGATCCTTAAGGAGTATGAGGGGAAACTTAGCAAGTCCTGTTTGTTAGGATTCTTTTCTGGTGTTCCTTTGTCTTAAGAGATAAAGATGCTTCTTTCCTCCAGGTACAGGGAGAGCACCTCCCATGGGAGGGTTTTATGACCCTTTCAGGGGAGAAGATGTGGGGTGGATCAGAGTGACTTTCTTGCTTCTGCTGTTTTCTCAAACTCCTTCAGCTTAAAGTATTCAATATGCCAAGGTACAATCCAATGGGGTAGCATGTTCTAAAACCCCATCAGAGGGTTAAATTGCTTACACATTAAATCACATAGAACAGTAAGCATTTTCTTTTTATCATTGCCCTTGTTACATTATTATTATTATTATTATTATTATTATTATTATTATTTAGAGAGAGTTTTCTACCAGTAAGATGATGTATTCTTAAAGTGAAGCTATAGCCAAAGGTGATATAGGGTAGATTTTTGCTCACGTTGGCAAATATTTATTGAGCTTCTACTATGCACTAGGCACCTTGCTTAGGCCTAGAATCAATGGGGGGAAAGACAAACAAGGTCTCTGACCTTCTTGGTCTTTTTTGAGGTGGGAGATGAAGGTTGAAATAACATGGACTTGGATGATTAGCAAACAAGCAGATTAATTACTTTAGGAAAATTTGCCCTTTTGCTAATGGGTTTATCAAGGATGCAATGACTCCTTTTACTATTTTATGAAGGCTGTGGAGTCACTGGAAATGTAGCATGTGGACAGTTTTCATCTTTCCCTCTTCAAAGAGGGGAAGAGTAGGAGATTAACTTTGTAGCAAAAGGAATTTAGATGAGCAATGAGATTCCTAGAGGTCTGGGTTATTGGCCATGAGAATGAATGAATAGGGAGGGTTAAAGAATTTCATTCAATTATTCTTTCACTTTCAAGAATTTATTTGGAACCACTAAATATGTGGCTCTGTGAAATAAGTGGAAGGAGGAGGGGGGTGTTGATGCCAAGTCACTGCAAGACTCACTATCAGTGGCACAATGTTTTTGTTTGTTTTTACCAAGAAGAATAAAAAGTATACAGTGTTTTGTTTTTAATTAGGTACTATCAAACTGAGCTAGTTTTCTGTCAGCCTACTGTAAAAGAGTTGATTAGAAATGATTTTCAAAACCTATATTTTAGTAATAAATTGCCTTCTTTATAATTTTAGTTATACCTCTCACCAAGGCAAAGCAATACATGAAATATGAAAAACTATCATTCAAGAAACAGTTGCTTTCTTTCCTTTTCTTTCTTTCTCTCTCTCTCCCTCTTTAGCAATACTAAGTGGATTAGGTATGCTTAAAATTCTTCTTTACTAATTGGCTTTCTCAGATATAGGTATGCCTCAATGATATTGGAGAACAATTATGCAAATATATGCTAATCCAACCTAGGAAATAAAATAACAGTATGACTTTGTACTTTCTAAATTAAAGACATTGGTGGATTAGTTCTTTTTTAATTATTTATTTATTCATGAGAGACATAGGGAGAGAGAGGCAGAGACACAGGCAGAGGGAGAAGCAGGCTCCATGCAGGGAGCCTGACCTGGGACTCCATCCCAGGACTCCAGGATCCCGCCCTGGGCTGAAGGTGGTGCTAAACCACAGAGCCACCGGGGCTGCCCTGGTGGATTAGTTCTCAATGTTTATCAAGTATGAAGACTTGACAAAACACAACTATAATGGGGAGTTTAAGGATGTGATAGAAATAGAAGTTAGGTACCAGGGGCCTTTTCAAGGTCCAGGAGTCCAGACACTGTCCCGAGTCACAAGGGAAGATGTTTCTCACCACCCTATTCCAGATTCGGGGGAAATCAAGTCGGTGTTTGATTGACAAAAGGTGAAAAACAGTAGGGTATCACCATCAATTGGATTCAGAAAGCAAGACATACAAACGGAGCTGCCCTTCTAAGCACAAACTCCCTCCCCCCTGGGTCCTGGCCAGAGGACTTCCTTGGGCATACCTCCTGTGGGGAGCACTTCTCCTAAGTTCCTGTTTCCCTTGGGCAATAGTAACTGCTTCCTCCACTTGTTCCTTCAGACCTAGGGGTAGTGGAAGCTTCCTCCCGCTGTTTGTATCCCAGGCGCTTCAGCATTCTTGGCTACCCACATTTCTACAAATTGGACCGGATGAAATTCTCTTCAATCACCCCCACTGAGCATGCAGGTCATTTCCTCTAGCGATCATGTCAGATGCGCCAGCACATGAAAGACCATGACAAGTCACTGAGAGCCTGCATGGTAGTCCAGATGGTAAGTGCTCTAGGCCTGGAGGGAAGACAGGGGTGTGACCAGCTGGCAGGCAGGTAGACTTGAGCTCCAACCCCGACCTACAGGAAGGAGGGTGGGGTTGGGGTAGTAATTTGAGTAAGAGTGGGACAGTGGAGGAGGTGGCAATTAAGGTAGGTCAGTAGCTTCGGTGAAGGGTTAGGGCTGGAATATATGTAGTGACCATTACCAATTAGAGAATGTTGATGGAAGCAGAAGGTGAACGTTTGTTGTAGAGAGTAGATGAGGTTGATGAGGCTAGGCGGGATCAAATTATGAAATATCCTAAACCGTGGAGAAACCCCATGGGGAATCAATGGAAGACTTTTTTCCTAATTACTCTTTGTCCAACCTTAGAACTTTTATGGTAGTGATAATTATGATACAGCTATCTAACATTTATATGGTATTTTATAATGTTCAGAGGACCTTCATGGTGCTTGAAACAGGTAATTACCTTTAGCATTCCCCTCAACTCCTCTTCCTTGCCCCCCATACAATTCTGAAGATAAAGACATGAAAAAAGTCTAAATATGACATCAATTAACCCCCTACTTCTCGTGTAAACCACTCCAATCATATAGAATGATTTACTCAACCAAAGAAACGACTATATAGACTTGCATTTTTTTAATACCAAAAAAGCTAAAGAATGGGTTTTTTAAACTGCACAGGGGGAAAAAAAGGCAAACTTTCTACCAACACATAAGACGATGGAGGAACAGAAGCAAAATTTGAAGTTCTAGGACTGCATATAGTTTTCGTCATGGCAGTGTTCAAGTGATAAATTCTTTACAGAAGCACTAACATGGTTACCATCCTTCAGGGGCCCCAGAACTCCCAACACTGCTGATGTCTGTGCAACGATAAGAGACCTCTTAGGATGATCCACCAGGGAAAGCTTAGGCAGCCACAAATGGTTTCTAAGTAATCTTTGGGTAGTTCTACAATAAAGATACTTACAAAGAAACTGCAGTGTTTGCTCCCATTTGTAAGCAAGGCAGTGCCACTCAGGGGAGAAAATATGGATTTTGGAATTCAGTAGTTCGGGATTTCAATCTGGATTGTGCTGTTTAACATCTGTGTGTGTTTGAGCCAGTTTCTTAACCCAAGTGTCAATTTCTTTATCTGGATGGAAGAGATTATCTAATTTACAAGACTCTTTTGGAAAGAAAATGAAATGATGCATGCAAAGC